CTGAGGCCTTAACCTATGGACCAGAAGACACACTGAACGGCAAGCAACTTATCTTCTGAGGAACTTCGGTGAAGGAAGCCACTCACCCAGCTGCACCCTGTGCTGTTTCTCCTCCTCGTTTCGAAGGAAGCTGTCGAGCGACTTCAAATCCATCATGTAGTCAGCTTTTCCCGTGGGAGAGTTGTAGACGGTGGGCGAGGAGCGATATCTGGCTCTCATCCCGCTGCTGTCCATGGGCCCGAGGCTAGCGGGGTACATCAAGGGACCCGGCGAAGGGCTGAAGGGCGGCACCTAAACGGGACGGAACGAAAAGCTGTAATTACCTATCGCAGGGGTGGCTAACCTTTTCGGGTTCCTGTGTCAAAAATTGCGCATAAGTGTGCTCGTGTTAGCGTGCGAGCACCCAGAATGCAATGTGTTCCCTGCGCACCCCCTTAGCTGCATTGCGCCTCACAGTTGATTTTTCGGCTGCTTTGAGGCCTTTTTCAGCCTCCCAGAGGCTTGGAAAAAGCCTCTGCGAGGCTTTTCAGGACCAATAATAGGCCTGTTTTGTCACTTCCGGTATTACAGTGAGGTAAGTTTGCCTGTGCTTGTGCGCCGGCACAAATGGCTCTGTGTGGCCACTTGTGGCACGCGGGCCATAGGTTCGCCATCACGGGCCTATCGGGAAGCCACCTTTTATTGACGTTCCTTCTCATACAGGTAGTCCTCGATTCGCGACCACAGTGGAGCCCCAAATTTCTGCCACTAAACGTGAAAGTTGCCATGTGAGTATTGCTTCCTTTTACCTTTCTTCCCGCGTGTCAACTCGTAAAACATTCCTATGCCTGTTTTCGAGTTGCCATAAACAAGGGGGGGGGGAGGAAATCTGAAGGGGCAGTATGGCAGGGGGTTGGACTGGATGACCTCCAAGGTCCCTTCCAACTCTGTTATTCTACGTTCTATTTTTTTTTATAAATAATTTTTATTCTGAGTTTCAATTTTTTTTTAAAAAAAGAAACATATTCTCAATTTTGCAGCATTGTCATAGTAGTATATATATCTATTAAGTGTCAATTAAGTTCATTTACTTCAAATGTATCTATAACTTATTTGCTAAATCCTTATTTGTATTGTTATTAAGTTACAATAGTTATTTATATTACTGTTATGTATATGTAAATAATGTAGTTGGGTTGACAGTATATAAACTACAAATATATATGCTTGTAGTTTGAAGGAAAAATACTGTATATTATGCTGTATTCTGGTTGGTTGATTATGCTACAAGCTGCCATAAGAGGGACCTATAGATCATGGTTTAATTCTCTTTCTCTTTTTCACTGATGATCTCTCTTGATACTAATACTTACTGATTACGGACTGATACTAACTAACTTTGTTTATTTTGATATTCTGTTGATATCGAAGGATATATGTTGTATTATGGTTTGATATCTGTCTGCTGTAAAAGACGTGAAACCAGTAAGACGACTTTATAACTGGATACTTCTGGACAGTTAAAAACGTGTATGACATGGACTGTTTATTGGACTGTGCTATTTCTTCAAGTAAACATTAATACCACTTGTTTAACTCTGTGTGACTGTATACCTACTCATAACTGTTCTCATAAACCGTTTCCGTGTGCATATCCTTTTTATATAAGGGTTACTCTGCGCATATCCTAACAATTACTTTACATGTATACATGTCTATATACATATTCGTCCTTTTCCCTATTTCTTTAATCATTTTCACTAAACATCTTTACTTGCTTTTTACTCAACCATTTGTACCATATATTCCATAGGGTGAAGAAGTCCCCTTCTTCCTTGTTTTTTAAATATCATGGTTAATCTAATCATTTCTGCGCATTGGTGAATTTGATTGATTACTGCCAAATCTGTGGGAACCGTTGTCGATTTCCAGTTTTGAACAAATGCTATCCTGGCCGCTGTAATGATGTGTAATATTAAATGCTGATGCTTCTTGGGTCTGACATTCCCAATAAGAAGGTTTCTGGGTTAAACTTAAATATTTTGTTTTGTCAATTCTTCTAGCCGTGCCTGGATCTTAAGCCAGAACTATGTTCTAAGTACATTCCAGCATTATCTTAAAAAATGCAGCCGTTTAAAACCAGAAGTACATTCCAACATTTATCTTACAAAGATTGTAGTTCGGCTGCCGGATCTTCTGCTCTTGAACATCCTTAATTGGAGAACGTGATTGATGACACTCAGCCTGTGAATGTGCTTAATTGGAGAATCTGATTTATGACACACCCAGGCGGAGGGGGGGGAGACAGGGTCACAGGGGACTGTGAATTATGTATGCCAGAGTTGGTTTAATGCCGGCATGTTGCTCCTACTAAATCTTCTGGATTCGTTTGAAGCTTGGCTCTGAGGCGCGTTAATTTAATTAGGGCAATCACCGGAACCCTGACATCACGGTTGTTAAGTGAATCTGGCTCACTGCAACCATCATAAATGCGAGTCGAAGCGTCTGAATTTTATTCACGGGATGAGGGGGATGCTGCAATGGTCGTAGGTGTGAAAAACTATCGTTACGTTGCTTTTCTCGGTGCCGTAGCTTCGGTCACTAAATGAACTGTTGCAAATCGAGGACCACTTGCATATAATAGAAGGAAAATATGGGAATGCAGATGGGAGGAAAAAAAGGGGAAGAGTAAGACCTTCAGATTTCAAGGGTCTCAGTCTCGCTCAGCAACAGAGTTTCCGATCCCAATTCTGGTCGTATGACGAGGAACTATTTGTAAATGAAACCATAGTAAATGTCTATGGACATTTGTCCCAAAGGTGCATTTTTTTTTCAGGCAACTGGACTTTCTTGGTTTTTTTTTCTTTTGAAGATGTTTCGCTTCTCATCCAAGAAGCTTCCTCAGTTCTGACTGAATGGTGAGCAATGGACGGATTGATACTCCTTGCAGACAGCTGGTCATTTGCATCCTTTTAGAGGGTCATTGAGGCCAGTTGGAGGGCAAAGATAAACCTCCAAGTGGCCTCAACGACCCTCTAAAAGGGTGCAAATGACCAGCTGCCTGCAAGGAGTATAAATCCTTCCATTCCCCACCATCCGGTCAGAGTTGAAGAAGCTTCTTGGATGAGAAGGGAAATGTCTTCAAAGAAAAAGGAGAAAAAAAACCAAGAGAAGTCCAGTTGCCTCTCTTTGGGAGAGCCGTCAAGAGTTCTCTGGAATAGGGTTTAGTAACGAGGTCAGCCAATGAGAGCTGAATTGAAGGCTGAGAGAATCTGGGCCTGGTTTAATCTCTGTTCTGTGCTCAGCTCTCAAGTGAAAGAGAAACTAACTTACTTACTACGCCTGCTGAACTAAAGTGAAACTGAGGTCTGTTTCTGAGCTCCTGAGTTGCTGCTGAAAATCTGAACCTGTAACATGTCTGCTTCTGTTTGAGTTTGGAGAAAGTCTACGACTGGTACTGTAAAATTCACTTTACATGTTTATAAAGAAGTTAAACGAAGCCTCAGCCTCAGCCTCAGCCTCAGCTGCGTTTCCTTTTCTGGCGCTGAATTTCCGCTGCAATGCTCCGAGCAAGAACCACAGCTAATAAATCCTTAGCTCTCTTACCTTACTATAGCTGCTTCCTGGGGAGTAACTGGCCGCCGTGCCGTAGGACCCACTGCTTCCCGACAAGGCCTGCAGCTGAGGGCTGTAACCGGAGATGCAGCCCGTGGCGAATTTGGGGCTGGTGCTGGGGGAACGGGATGGGCTGTAGCTCAGGACGCTCTGCCCCTGGATGGGAGGGGAGGGCGGCGAAGGGGGCGTCTTCCTGGGCATCAACTCCCGGGGCGGCGTAGTCTGGACCGCTGGAATGAAAATCCCATTATGGAAGGTTGAAGAAAGAACAGCACGCGGACAAACGAGACAAATTATAATTGTTGGTGTGTGTGTGTGTGGGGGGGGGAATAAAAAATTAAAAGTTTCTGAAGGAAGGCAGAGCAGAAACGTTGGAGGCGATTAAGAAACGTGGAATTTCAAGGACAGGTCGTCCTCGACTTACAAGGGTTTATTTAGTGGCCGTTCAAAGTTACGACGGCATCGAAAATTAAGTGGCTTGATGGTCGGGTTTTTTTGTGTGTGTGTGTTTACACTTACGACCGTTGCATAGTCGCGTGCTCAAAAGTCGGACCCTTGGCAACGGTTTCCTCTTTCAGTCAAGGAGAATAGAGCTGGAAGGGATCTTTGGAGGTCAAGTAGTCCAACCCCCTCCTCTGGCAGGAGGCTCGATACCAGCGATGGCGAACCTTTTCGGCACCGAGGGCCCAAACCGGAACGTGTGCGCATGCCCGTGTGTGCTGGAGTGCCGGAAAGCCAGCTGGCCTGTTTTTGGCCATTTTGGGGGGCATTTTCTGGACTGTTTTCCAGGCAATTTCAGGATGTTTTGGAGGCCATTTTCAGGCTGTTTTCTAGGCCATTTCAGGCCATTTTTGGCCGGAAAAAAGGCCTGAAAACCACCTGGAAAATGGCCTGGAAAAGGCCTGAAAAAGGCCCCAAAATGGCCGTTTTGGAGGCTGTTTCCCGGTGCTCCGGTGCCTGCAAGGACCAGCTGGCCGGCACACATTTGCGTGCCAGAAACCAGAAGAGCGGCTGGCAACGGCACCCACGCCCACAGAAAGGGCTCCGCGTGCCACCTCTGACACACGTGCCACAGGTTCGCCATCCCAGCCTTGTACCATTTCAGAGAAGGGACTGTCCAGGCTCTTCTTAAAAAACCTCCAGGGATGGAGCCCCCATAACTTCTAGAGGCAAGTGGCATCCCATTGGTCACGGGATGCAAAATTCAGACGCTGGCAACCAGTTCATATTTACAATGGTCGCGGCGTGCCGGGGTCAGGTTATCTGCTCTTGTCGTGCGCCTGGTGGAGACTGACTCTGAGGGAGAGGAGGAACAGCCGACAGGGAGTGGAAGGGTGGCTCCGGAGGTTGTGGAGGAGGCTGGGGAAGGGCAGAGGCTGGCTGGGCAGTCAGAGGAGGACCCGGGCCCATCCCCTCTCCATCCTAGGGCACGCAGGGAGGAGTGGATAAGGGAGAAACGTGAGTGGCCTGGTCTACGAGGGGAGGAAAAGGCCCTGATCCCCTTCATGGGCTGCAGCTGTGACAACTGAATAAGTACTGGCGAACGCTGCAAACAAAGCGTGTAAATATTTCTAGTTTATGGTTCCTTTCTGAGTTTGGCGTCCTCCCCAGTGTGTGTTAGATGTGGACATCCTCCAGTCCTTTATCTTGTCTGGTTTGTGTTGCTTTTTTCCTTCTTCGTGTAACTGTTTGTGTGGGAGTGTTTTTTGTCTTCCGTCAAAAGATATTCGGAGCTTGGACGCAAACCGAGCGAATAAAAGGGGCTTCACTTGCTTTCTGTGACTCTGTTTTGTATCCCACCCTGGGCCAGCACAGCTCTTGTGACCTCCTGACCGGCGAAGTCACTGGAGAAGCCGCATTCGCTGAACGGCCGTGTTGCTAGCTTAACCAATGCAGTGATTCACTCAACAACAGGCTGGCTGGGGAACTCTGGGAGTTGAAGTCCACGAGTCTTAAAGTGGCCGAGGTTAGATGAAAAAAGAACAAAGCCAAACAGGCCCCACCTGCGTTCTGCAACCCCAGCAGGGACTGTTGTCCAGGACTCATAACTAGGCTGGTGGGAGCCATGGTATACTTGAAGTACCTCCAGAAATCGAATAAGGCGTTGAGGCTGAACAAAGAAGCAAACCCAAGTTCTAGAAGTGGAAACAAAACAAAACACGAAATTACAGTGAAGCGTTAAAAAGAAAAAATAGATCAGTTTGGTTGGGGAGGGAAGGAAAATGCATTGGTAAGATAAGGTTGTGGGGTCTTCGGTGCTCTCCAAGTTTGGTGGGTTTTTTGCTAGGCGTTTCATGATCCAGTTAAGTAACACCATCAATGCAAGAGGGAGAAAGGACAAGGGGAAGAAAGGGAAGAAGGAGGAGGGGAGGAGGAGGAGGAGGAGGAAGGAGGAGGAGAAGAAGAAGAGGAATAGAAGGAGGAGGAGAAGGAGGAGAAGGAGAAAGAAGAGAAGAGGAGGAGGAGGAGGAGGAGGAGGAGGAGGAGAAGAGGAATAGAAGGAGGAGGAGGAGAAGGAGGAGAAGGAGAAAGAAGAGAAGAGGAGGAGGAGGAGGAGGAGGAGGAAGAAGGAGGAGGAGGGGAGGAGGAGGAGGAGGAGGAGGAGGAGGAGGAGGAGGAGGAGGAGGAGGAGGAGGAGGAGGAGAAGAAGAAGAAGAAGAAGAAGAAGAAGAAGAAGAAGAAGAAGAAG